GGGCTGCGTGCAGATGCAGCACTTGTCGTAGTTATAAAGAAAAAAGAGGGGGCGAGAGAGAGCCAAATGGAGTAGGTAGAGAGGGGGGTAGAGAGAGAGGGGGGGGCAGAGAGGGGGGTAGAGAGAGAGGGGGGGGGGGCAGAGAGGGGGTAGAGAGAGGAGGAAGGGGAAAGAAAAAAGAAAAACATATTTTGGGTCTTTCATTTAAAAGGGGGGGGGGGGGGGTTACATAAAGCAAAGCATTAAAAAAAAAACAAAAAAACCGAAATGATGAACGGAGCAAAGTGCCGACTACACCGAGCATCTTCTTGTTTCTTCTGATCGTAATAAAAAAAGAAAAGAGGGAGAGCGAGCGAGGGGGTGAGGAGAGTGAGTGTCGTGGGGTGGGGAGAGTGAGTGTCGTGGGGTGGGGAGAGGGAGTGGAGTGGGGTGGGGAGAGTGAGTGGTGTGGGGTGAGGAGAGTGAGTGTCGTGGGGTGGGGAGAGGGAGTGGAGTGGGGTGGGGAGAGTGAGTGGAGTGGGGTGGGGAGAGTGAGTGTCGTGGGGTGAGGAGAGTGAGTGTCGTGGGGTGAGGAGAGTGAGTGGAGTGGGGTGAGGAGAGTGAGTGGAGTGGGGTGAGGAGAGTGAGTGGAGTGGGGTGGGGAGAGTGAGTGTCGTCGGGTGAGGAGAGTGAGTGTCGTGGGGTGGGGAGAGGGAGTGGAGTGGGGTGGGGAGAGTGAGTGGAGTGGGGTGGGGAGAGTGAGTGGAGTGGGGTGGGGAGAGTGAGTGGTGTGGGGTGAGGAGAGTGAGTGGGGTGGGGTGAGGAGAGTGAGTGTCGTGGGGTGGGGAGAGGGAGTGGAGTGGGGTGAGGAGAGTGAGTGGAGTGGGGTGGGGAGAGTGAGTGGAGTGGGGTGGGGAGAGTGAGTGGAGTGGGGTGGGGAGAGTGAGTGTCGTGGGGTGAGGAGAGTGAGTGTCGTGGGGTGAGGAGAGTGAGTGGAGTGGGGTGAGGAGAGTGAGTGGAGTGGGGTGAGGAGAGTGAGTGGAGTGGGGTGGGGAGAGTGAGTGTCGTCGGGTGAGGAGAGTGAGTGGGGTGGGGTGAGGAGAGTGAGTGTCGTGGGGTGGGGAGAGGGAGTGGAGTGGGGTGGGGAGAGTGAGTGGAGTGGGGTGGGGAGAGTGAGTGGAGTGGGGTGGGGAGAGTGAGTGGTGTGGGGTGAGGAGAGTGAGTGGGGTGGGGTGAGGAGAGTGAGTGTCGTGGGGTGGGGAGAGGGAGTGGAGTGGGGTGGGGAGAGTGAGTGGAGTGGGGTGAGGAGAGGGAGTGGGGTGGGGAGAGTGAGTGTCGTGGGGTGAGGAGAGTGAGTGGAGTGGGGTGGGGAGAGTGAGTGTCGTGGGGTGAGGAGAGTGAGTGGAGTGGGGTGGGGAGAGTGAGTGGTGTGGGGTGAGGAGAGTGAGTGTCGTGGGGTGGGGAGAGGGAGTGGAGTGGGGTGGGGAGAGTGAGTGGAGTGGGGTGAGGAGAGGGAGTGGAGTGGGGTGGGGAGAGTGAGTGTCGTGGGGTGAGGAGAGGGAGTGGAGTGGGGTGGGGAGAGGGAGTGGAGTGGGGTGGGGAGAGTGAGTGGAGTGGGGTGAGGAGAGTGAGTGTCGTGGGGTGAGGAGAGTGAGTGGAGTGGGGTGAGGAGAGTGAGTGGAGTGGGGTGAGGAGAGTGAGTGGAGTGGGGTGAGGAGAGTGAGTGGGGTGGGGTGAGGAGAGTGAGTGGAGTGGGGTGAGGAGAGTGAGTGGGGTGGGGTGAGGAGAGTGAGTGGGGTGGGGTGGACGAGTGAACGAGGGGGTGAGGAGCCTTTCCATCCCGCCACGTCAACAACAAAACAATTGCACAAGTTATTGTCTCACACATCCCATCAGACACGCAGCCAGCTTCTTGGAGTGCGTCATTTCAGCAGAAAATAATTTCATCTGGACCGGGTTTCGATATTCAGTCACTCATCAGCAGCCAGCCAGGCTTGCTTTAATCATTGCTCGTGAACTGCCAGGTGTTAACGGCAAGGCTCCCTCCCTGTGCTACGGGTCCTAATTGGATGCAAACCTAAATAACAGCAAAAGACAATAGACAATTATTAGCGTCGCTGTGGATAATTTAAGTAAAACAAATAACCAGACATCTCGTCTCCTCCACCTAGAATGTACCGCGTGGCTGATGATCACGGGTGCGAGTACAGCAAAAACATTGTGGTTTTTTTTGAGGTACAGACGGTGAACAGACGGCTGGTTCAACAATACGTACAGGCGCCTTGTCTGCTTATCATTTATTCGCGTTATGTATGTGCAGCGCGTTGAACTTCTTTCGCACCGTACGTAGCCGACCGTATCACTCGAGCGGCGCACGCGTGTCAATGAAACAGCTCCACGCGTGTCAATGAAACAGCTCCACGCGTGTCAATGAAACAGCTCCACGCGTGTCAATGAAACAGCTCCACGCGTGTCAATGAAACAGCTCCACGCGTGTCAATGAAACAGCTCCACGCGTGTCAATGAAACAGCTCCACGCGTGTCAATGAAACAGCTCCACGCGTGTCAATGAAACAGCTCCACGAGTGTCAATGGAACAGCTCCACGCGTGTCAATGAAACAGCTCCACGCGTGTCAACGAAACAGCTCCACGCGTGTCAACGAAACAGCTCCAAGCGTGTCAACGAAACAGCTCCAAGCGTGTCAACGAAACAGCTCCACGCGTGTCAACGAAACAGCTCCACGCGTGTCAATGAAACAGCTCCACGCGTGTCAATGAAACAGCTCCACGCGTGTCAATGAAACAGCTCCACGCGTGTCAACGAAACAGCTCCACGCGTGTCAACGAAACAGCTCCAAGCGTATCAACGAAACAGCTCCAAGCGTGTCAACGAAACAGCTCCACGCGTGTCAATGAAACAGCTCCACGCGTGTCAATGAAACAGCTCCACGCGTGTCAATGAAACAGCTCCACGCGTGTCAACGAAACAGCTCCACGCGTGTCAACGAAACAGCTCCAAGCGTATCAACGAAACAGCTCCAAGCGTGTCAACGAAACAGCTCCACGCGTGTCAATGAAACAGCTCCACGCGTGTCAATGAAACAGCTCCACGCGTGTCAATGAAACAGCTCCACGCGTGTCAATGAAACAGCTCCACGCGTGTCAATGAAACAGCCCCACGCGTGTCAACGAAACAGCTCCACGCGTGTCAATGAAACAGCTCCACGCGTGTCAATGAAACAGCTCCACGCGTGTCAATGAAACAGCTCCACGCGTGTCAATGAAACAGCCCCACGCGTGTCAATGAAACAGCTCCACGCGTGTCAATGAAAGAGCTCCACGCGTGTCAATGAAACAGCTCCACGCGTGTCAATGAAACAGCTCCACGCGTGTCAATGAAACAGCTCCACGCGTGTCAATGAAACAGCTCCACGCGTGTCAATGAAACAGCTCCACGCGTGTCAATGGAACAGCTCCACGCGTGTCAATGAAACAGCTCCACGCGTGTCAATGAAAGAGCTCCACGCGTGTCAATGAAACAGCTCCACGCGTGTCAATGAAACAGCTCCACGCGTGTCAATGAAACAGCTCCACGCGTGTCAATGAAACAGCCCCACGCGTGTCAATGAAACAGCTCCACGCGTGTCAATGAAACAGCTCCACGCGTGTCAATGAAAGAGCTCCACGCGTGTCAATGAAACAGCTCCACGCGTGTCAATGAAACAGCCCCACGCGTGTCAATGAAACAGCCCCACGCGTGTCAATGAAACAGCTCCACGCGTGTCAATGAAAGAGCTCCACGCGTGTCAATGAAACAGCTCCACGCGTGTCAATGAAAGAGCTCCACGCGTGTCAATGAAACAGCCCCACGCGTGTCAATGAAACAGCTCCCCGCGTGTCAATGGAACAGCTCCACGCCAGCGGCTCGTAGTCCGTGACACGGGGGGACCCTCCAGGGTTACCGCTCGCCCCTTGCTCTGTCTAACACCGCAAGCAGGCCGATTGCTTCACTATTCTTTGCAAATCGCCCGATGATGCTGGATGTAATTAATTACCAGCGAAACGTCGTACAACTCACATTGTTAATGTTGTGGATTAACTCTCCAGCACTCCGGTGGGCTGAAGTAGTCACTAACTGGCGCGTTGTTTACGCGACAAACCTTACCGGCTGTGTCGGGTGGTGGAGGGTTACGACGCATTCATACTTACGCGATCTAACCCAACAACCTTTATGATGTGAACAATGTTGGTCGCTAAAGCCTGCTGCTACGTGTTAAACTGCACTACGGCACCCGCTCGTGTGCGCCTTTCACTGGCAGTCACGTTCGTTTTTATAAACGCACATTGCTGCAGGGTTATTCACATGACGTGCGTGTGTATACGTGATTATTGCTTGATTCCTACGTGTGTTTGTCTGTATATACGTGGTGATCTGATTCCTACGTGTGTACAGTATATATGGATGTGTGTGTATATGTGTTTGTATATGTGTGTGCATGTGTCTTTGTCTTTATTTGGGCGTTATGTTTGTGTTGTGTGTCAATCGACGGGGAGCGGTAGTGTAGCGCTTAGCGGTGATGATTATCTGAACTGGTCCTGGGCCTCCCTTACGTTGACTCTGCCTCAAATGATTACCTGGTGCGGTGTGTAAATATTGTCACTAGGGAGACAAAGGCGGTCGGGCGTGGTGCTGGCCACCCACCCCCTCGTGTGCCGTGCCGGCCTTCATAGGTGCTCGCTAACAGCACTTGCCCCTACAGTCTGTTAAGGCTATACGGGGGATCTTTGTCTTTGCATGTGTGTGTCTTTGTGCGTATGGTTTGCGTGTGTTTGTGTGTCAATCGACAACCCTGGGATACCCTTTGCAAACGAGATGTCCCATCTCAGGGGATGTTCCAGGTGAATAATTGTGACTGGTGTGAGAATATCGAGGGTGTGTGTGGGTGTGTTTCTGATGTCAAACACCCCCCCCCCCCCCCCCCGGCGACTTGGTATCGTCTGTTTCTGGAGCTCCGCCTCTGCTGGAGAATTGAAAAGGCACGCGGGGGCCGAGACGGAGCAGGAGAGTGGCAGGAGACGCTGGCGTTGGTGACGCTGGAGACGCTGGTGTCGGTGACGCTGGTGACGCTGGTGCTCGATTCTCCTCCTCGTGTCTCGGTGAGAAACACGCACACACACTCTCTCACACACACGCACACTTTCTCACACGCACGCACCCTCACACACACGCACACCCTCACACACACGCACACACTCTCACACACTCTCACGCACATGCACACACGCGCACACACTCTCACACACACACACGCACTCTCACACACACACCCTCATACACCCTCACACACACACTCTCACGCACACACACACACGCACACACTCTCACACACACGCACTCTCACACACACTCTCACACGCACACACACGCACGCACACTCTCACACTCACACGCACACACTCACACACTCACACACACACTCTCACACAAACAAATATCCTCCGTATAGCCTACAGACTGTAGGGGCAAGTGCTGTTAGCGAGCACCTATGAAGGCCGGAACGGTACACGAGGGGGTGGGTGGCCAGCACCACGCTCGACCGCCTTAGTCTCCCCAGTGGCGATGTTTACACCGCACCAGGTACTCATTTGAGGCTGAGTCGACCTAGGGGAGGCCCAGGACCGGTTCAGATAATCGTCACTAGTGTTGGCCGTGAGCGGGAATCGAACTCGTGTCGCCAGGTTCATAGCGCAGCGCGCTAACCGCTCACACTCACACACACGCATTCACACTGACACACTCTCACACGCACACTCTCACACACACTCACACTCTCACACACACTCTCACACACACTCTCACACACACACTCTCACACGCACACACTCTCACACACGCACGCACTCTCACACACACGCACGCACTCTCACACACACTCTCACACGCACACACGCACACACGCACACTCTCACACACACTCACACACGCACGTCCCAGCTGTAATCCTACCTCACAGCACATCGTATATCAAAATCAGAGCAAAAACCATCGCATCTGAAATCGCACCTCATGTCACATCTCACCGTCACACATAATCACCATCATCATATCCCACATCACCGTCACACACTAATCACCATCATCATATCCCACATCACCGTCACACATAATCACCATCATCATATCCCACATCACCGTCACACATAATCACCATTATCATATCCCACATCACCGTCACACATAATCATCATCATCATATCCCACATCACCGTCACACATAATCATCATCATCATATCCCACATCACCGTCACACATAATCACCATCATCATATCCCACATCACCGTCACACATAATCACCATTATCATATCCCACATCACCGTCACACATAATCATCATCATCATATCCCACATCACCGTCACACATAATCACCATCATCATATCCCACATCACCGTCACACATAATCACCATCATCATATCCCACATCACCGTCACACATAATCACCATCATCATATCCCACATCACCGTCACACATAATCACCATCATCATATCCCACATCACCGTCACACATAATCACCATCATCATATCCCACATCACCGTCACACATAATCACCATCATCATATCCCACATCACGTAACATCTCAAATCACAACGTTCGATCGCATCGCATGTACAGCCCGGCGGAGCGCCACATCCCACCGAGGCACCTCGCGTAACACCGCAACATCTCACAACCACCAAACGTGGAAATGACAAAACGCTGCTACGACTTTTGTCGCTTTGCCTGGTGGGTGGTGGGGGGGGGGGGGGGGAGATTAAAATATAGTGGGGGGGGGGTGCGAATCGTTGCCACTGCTGTGGCCGCCGCGCCACCGTTTGCCATTCAATGTCACAGTCACGAGGACCGCACGTGCGTGCGGCTGATTTGATTTGTACGCCCTGACGTTGAATTCGTGCGAGGCGTTACAAATGGGGACGGGTTTAGATGTGAGAGATGCAATCGATAAGGCGCTCATCATCTCCTTTATTGACAAGGGAGCTTCATTGCGTCTCGTGCCTCTGTCCATGCGAGGGTCCTGCTACATTTTGGAATTGTTTGGCCGGTGCCATTAATTACGCATCATTAATGTTTCAGGACTGTACTGTAAATGGACTGTGCACGATGTAGACTTTCCATTTTTACCGGTGAACATCCCATCAAGACGATGGATGTGTTGTTGTTGTATCTCGTGCCGAACGTGCGGGCCACCTCGTAGGGGATTATCGCAGCTGCAGCAGCTGCAGAGGCAACGATTTAGCCCACAGCTTGGTTTCCTGCCTCAACGTATTACGCATTTTTAAAATAAATATATATATACATTCCTGATCTTTCAAACATCGTCAATTTTGGAAGTCCGATCCGGCTCAATTGAGAGTCGCAGCTTCAGGCATCATCCGGCGACAATCACTGGCGACAATCACCGGGCCTTTTGGGGGTGGTGGTGGTAGGAGGGGTGTGGATGTTGAGAGGTCCGCGCGTTCGTCACGGCATGGGTGGGAATCTTCTCTCTCTCTCTCTCACCTGAGAGGTTTGTCTCGTGGCCGCCGCTGATTGCGAGGCCACAGAGGGACGGACGACATGCCCGAGCAACATTTCAGAGCCGGGGCAGGCTGGGAGGCTCGCTCGCTCGCAGCAGCCAGGCCCCGCGAGTGCACGGCTGTGTGTGTGTGTGACCGGTAAGCCGAATGAGACTGTGTGTGTGTGACCGGTAAGCCGAATGAGACTGTGTGTGTGTGTGACTGGTAAGCTGAATGAGACTGTGTGTGTGTGTGACTGGTTAACCGAATGAGACTGTGTGTGTGTGTGTGACTGGTTAACCGAATGAGGCTGTGTGTGTGTGTGACTGGTAAGCTGAATGAGACTGTGTGTGTGTGTGACTGGTTAACCGAATGAGACTGTGTGTGTGTGTGACTGGTAAGCTGAATGAGACTGTGTGTGTGTGTGTGACTGGTAAGCTGAATGAGACTGTGTGTGTGTGACTGGTTAACCGAATGAGACTGTGTGTGTGTGTGTGACTGGTTAACCGAATGAGGCTGTGTGTGTGTGTGACCGGTAAGCCGAATGAGACTGTGTGTGTGTGTGACCGGTAAGCCGAATGAGGCTGTGTGTGTGTGACCGGTAAGCCGAATGAGACTGTGTGTGTGTGACTGGTTAATCGAATGAGACTGTGTGTGTGTGTGTGTGACCGGTAAGCTGAATGAGACTGTGTGTGTGTGACTGGTTAATCGAATGAGACTGTGTGTGTGTGACTGGTTAACCGAATGAGGCTGTGTGTGTGTGTGACTGGTTAACCGAATGAGACTGTGTGTGTGTGTGACTGGTTAACTGAATGAGACTGTGTGTGTGTGACTGGTAAGCCGAATGAGACTGTGTGTGTGTGTGACTGGTTAACCGAATGAGACTGTGTGTGTGTGTGTGACTGGTTAACCGAATGAGGCTGTGTGTGTGAGACCGGTAAGCCGAATGAGACTGTGTGTGTGTGTGTGACTGGTTAACCGAATGAGGCTGTGTGTGTGTTACTGGTAAGCTGAATGAGACTGTGTGTGTGTTACTGGTAAGCCGAATGAGACTGTGTGTGTGACTGTTAAGCCGAATAAGACTGTGTGTGTGACTGGTTAACCGAATGAGGATGTGTGTGTGTGTGACTGGTTAACCGAATGAGGCTGTGTGTGTGAGACCGGTAAGCCGAATGAGACTGTGTGTGTGTGTGACTGGTAAGCTGAATGAGACTGTGTGTGTGTGACTGGTTAACCGAATGAGACTGTGTGTGTGTGACTGGTTAACCGAATGAGACTGTGTGTGTGTGTGACCGGTAAGCCGAATGAGACTGTGTGTGTGTGTGACTGGTTAACCGAATGAGACTGTGTGTGTGTGTGACCGGTAAGCCGAATGAGACTGTGTGTGTGTGACCGGTAAGCCGAATGAGGCTGTGTGTGTGTGTGTGACTGTTAAGCCGAATAAGACTGTGTGTGTGACTGGTTAACCGAATGAGGCTGTGTGTGTGTGACTGGTTAACCGAATGAGGCTGTGTGTGTGAGACCGGTAAGCCGAATGAGGCTGTGTGTGTGTGTTACTCGTAAGCCGAATGAGACTGTGTGTGTGTGTGACTGGTAAGCCGAATGAGGCTGTGTGTGTGTGAGACCGGTACGCCGAATGAGGCTGTGTGTGTGTGTGTGGCAGCGTGCCGCGCGCCCTCAACGTGCCCCGGCCATTTCTCTACAATTTGAGACAAACGAGAAATGGGCATCGATGTTTAGAGAAATAAAAAATGCTTTTGAGCGATTTAATAATTGAATACAAAAAAAAGCAGCGTCAATAATTTAGTTTCTGCGGCGTACGCTGCTGGGGAGAAAACGTCCCCCCCCCCTCCCCATCTCCGCCCCATCTAATTCGAGGAAAGGGAAGATTAGGACAAAATAAATGACCAAAGCCCGGGGTGTGAGAGCCATGCAGCGGACTCCGCTCCGGCCCCTCGGCGAGCGGCAGCCGGTGACGTCACGGCCGCGCAGCGCGGGGCCACAGCGGCGATGACCGCGACTGCACCGCCAAGAGCCACAGTGTAGCCTCAACAGACTGTTGGGGCAAGCGCTGTTGGCGAGCTGCTGCACCTGTGAAGGCCCGGCGCGGCACACCGAGGGCGTGGGTGGTGAGCACCGCGCCCGGCCGCCTTTGTATCCCTAGTGGAGATGTGTACACGCCGCACCAGGTACTCGTTTGAGGCTGAGTCGACCTCGGAGAGGCCCAGGATCGGTTCAGATATTCGTCACCGGTGTCGGCCGTGAGCGGGAATCGCACGCGGGTCTCTGGGTTCGTGGCGCAGCGCGTTAACTTCGCACTACCACACGCACACGCGCACCTAATGCGTAGAGACGAGTGGGAGTGATGTAACATTCTGGTGATATTCTGGAATGGATAAAAATGCTGGCATTGGCACACAAATAGTGGAGACGATCGAGTCTATGCTCATAACCAGTGCAGGCAGGTATGAATCCTGTGTGTCTTGCAAGACCAAACACCAGACAATTGCCAGAATTGAACCGTGGTGATTGCCTGATGATGTGGGTTGTAACTGCCAGCTGAAGGTCCGATCTGATTGTTAAAACGTTGTGGATC